TAATTTTTTTTTTCCATTTTTAATTGTTTAAAATTACTCTACCGACTATTTTCTGGCAATGGATTAAGGGACGATTGTCCCAAACCCCATCCCCACGGGGGGAGGGAAACTGCTGCCAAAAATTTTTGGATTTCCTATGTTTTCTAAATTTTGGCAAATTAATTGACAAAAATTATTAAAAACCCAGTAAAAATAGGGTAACCATTTTTTCATTACTTCCTATAATTTTTCCCCACCGGTAGCGTTTGTTGTGGGCTTCGCCCGAACCGCATCCCAACGGGGGGAGGCGAAATGCTGCCGGAATTTTGAAAATTTTGGCAAAATTATTCCGATCAAAGATAAATCAAGAAACTTTGGATATTAGGGTGGAAACCTACCTCTATCAAGGGGAAAATAGAAAGGAGAATTATTTCGATTTTTTTTAATTTTTTCTAATTAAAATTTGATCAATTATAAAAAATTCAAAAAAAGATGGAGAAAAGAGAGAAAGACCAACCAGGGATTACAGAGAGTAACTAAATCAAGTCCCCTAAAGGTTGGAAAAGAAAAAGGGATTTTTTTTCAAATTCTCATTATATTTAGTTGAATTTATTAAAGATAAATTAATTAAAAATCCTTAGGAGGAAGGTAGAAAACAAGAGAGGCTTGACTCCAACCTCCCCACATATTCTCCCTTCGAATCTCTAACACTGAAGCAGAGACACCCCAATTTTGGGGTTATTCTTGAATTTTACCTTAATTTAAGTTCGAAAAATCCTTCAAAATTTATAAACGACTTTAAAAATCAGGTAAAGAGTGTAAACCTGATACTTTGTAGTTGCCTTAGCTATCTGTAGCCCTTGTGAGACGCTGGCGTGCACGGGAGCGCACTAGGAAGAATTCCCTTGAATACTGCACGTGCCTTCTATTCGAGAAAAGGCGAATAGAAGGCTTGTTAGCCCAATTCGAGCCAGGAATTCTTTGCTGTAGTTATCTGGGCACATATAGGACATACGTAGGCAGCGTTTATTCAGGGATCGCCTCTCGAACCCCATCCCTACAAGGGGAGGCGAAGCGCTGCCAAATTTCCCTCAGAATTATAGATATTACTTACCCCCACACTCCCTTTCTAGATACTATAGGATTGCTCCTAAGTACGACAGCTAGTCGAATGTTCCAATCTGAGGCTATAGAGGTGTACGATGTCGACCGTCATTGGGAGATAGAGCCCCCAAAGCTCATAGAGGGAGACCTAGTAGAGTTTACACTCCCTCGACGACCCACCGACTTGCTCGACGGGCAGTTCCGGTGTAGGTGTGTATTTTTGACCTATGATGCTTGGCTGTGGACACACAGAGAGCACCGGAGGGAAGAGTACGGGAGTCTGACATGCGGAGTAGTGAGGGCTTACTTATATCTAGGGGAGGGAGCAGCAAAGGAGGTTGCTCTGAGTCTTGCGATCTCGGGAGCTAGCGTGATCATCGATAGAGCCCAGCGTTATCTGCAGCGGGAGGTTGACGAATTTCGCACGAACGACGGGCAGGACCCGTTGACCCTGTTTCACGAGAGGCCTCCTCTTGATATCAGGGGCGATCTCTTGATAGCGCAAGACGGTTTCTTTCCCTATTCCGCGATTGGTTTGAGGGCGGTCTATCCCTCTTTTGTGGTGGACTCCGTTTTCGGAGGAGTAGGGGGCATAGTGGAGACTTACCTTGCGTATAGATAGCTAGAGACCTTCGCACGGGGGAGTTTGGACGAGCATTACATATACTACTCGCTTGCGACTGGGGACCCTCGTTGGGGAGACAAGAGGGTTCAACTGATAGAGCTGATCTGCTCGTTAGGGGACGATTGCCAGAGAGGGGTGTCGCCGCCCTCGAACGTCTGGGATTGGTTGGATCGCGAGCTTCGAGCAGGACCGGAGTACATTACTTGTATAGGCAGGCTCTTTTCAGAGGATTGGGAGAGTTTGTAGAGCGAGTACGCGATTATCAGCTGACACGTTACTATCAGGGGATCGGACTTCGTCCATTTCGCGTGGAGGAGGAGTAGGGCGACAAGGAATGGGCCGACGACGACGACGAGGAGGAGGCCTGGGAGCCAGATTGGATTGACTCTGAGAGCGAGAGTGTCGAGTCGGAGGGGGAGATTGACGTCACTGACGCCCACTTTCCCATGATAGGGGTCGTCGTCCGGTCCTAGGAGACGGTGCGCAGAGGAAATGTGCCAGGAGTAGTGATTTAGTGGGTTAGAATCAGCTGGCAGCGGAGCGCGATCCGATGGTAGAGCAGGTTGATATAGAGGAACTCCAGATTAGCAACGCTAGATGACCCAGACGGTCCAGACCCCCTGAGACCGTTGTACCCGATGTGTTAGAGTTCGATCTACCGGCTAGGAGTGTAGCCGAGCCTAGGATTTATAGCAGTTAGAGACCTGTGGACGTACGTGGTTGAGACCTACGAGCCGGAAAGTCAGCATTGGCGAGTACCGGGGACGACGAGTATTGAGGCTATAGGGCACATTTACTACTCGTGTTCGGTGAGGGTCACGATCTATTTTGAGGGATTGGTGCATGGGTTTTGGCGCTGTGAGCAGGAAGCTAGGGCAATTATATCGGGTCAAGTAGAGAGGGTCCGTGAGGATACTGAGCGATTGCACGGCTCAGTCAGGGCGACGAGGACGACCCTTCGGATCGGGGGGGCCTTTCCGTTCCCCGATGTGCGACTGAGAGTGAGGCTTCGTGTATTTGTAGTGGAGGAGCTCTGGAGTCTGACCCACATCGCTGAGACGTATTTTGCTAGCCTTGAGTTGGATGGACTTAGGAGAGGGCTAGCGGACCCTGATTGGATTGAGTACACACAGTTTATCGGAGGACCCCTTACGAGGGAGAGAGGACTCGAGCTTGTAGAGTTTGTAAGGGCTCTAGCGCCTTCGGGGGACCAGGAATCCTTTTATCTGTACCAGCCCCTAGACTTCTGGACCGCGCTAGAGAGAGAGGCACAGCGACCTGTGGATTGTTTAGCTGGATTAGGGGAACTATTCACTGAGTCTCACGAGAGGAGACATTCCGAGTTGGGAGGTTGAGGAGCATTATCAGCGACTGTACCTGGACGCCGATGACCACGGGTGGCAAGCCGAGGATAGAGAGTGGAAGGGCTTAGATGAGGTAGAGCTTTGGGGCGACCAGGACTATGGCTGGGGAGATTCAGCGTTGGCCGATAGAGAGGGGCAGGTAGGTGTAGAGGTGCAACTGGAGGACGGCTGGGGAGACCTTGGGGACGGGGGCTATCCCTTGGGGACGGGGGGTAGATGAGGACGAAGATGTGGATATGGAAGATGCCGAGAGGGATTACTGCAGGCCGATGAGTTTGAGAGAGCTGGAAGGAGAGAAATAGAAGTGGATGGAGTGATGAGGAGTGATGCGGATGTATGGTTGGTGTATGTTTTGACACGGGGATCGGAATCGTATAGAGCGAGGAAGCTGATAGGGCCGAGAGAGACGACAATGGGTTACGATGTGCCACTCCCGGTACGCTTAGAGGAGATAGTGAGTGTACCGATATATCACTTCGGTACTTGGATAGCGAAAGGAGTGTTCTTGTGGGCGGTGATTACAGAGGATAGAGGATTCGAATTTCCCCGACGATTGGAGGGGATAGGACATTTTGTGTTTGATGAGACACGGGATATAGAGACAGGTCTAACACTTGCGAGTGTTAGCAGAGCTTGGTGGAAATATGAGGTTTTAGCAGAGGCGATAGTGAGACGGCGATTGACGTGCATTGCGAGAGACAGACCTTTCACCACCCGAGTCGTGATCGGTCCTCCTCACTTGATCTACCGTCCGGTAGAGAGCTGGAGGATGGTCCTACCTACGTTTGTCATACAACAAACTTACAGGAATGTAGACTGCTTGACGAGAGTGGTCGACCACACTCTGCACGCGATCTGGTTGGGACGAGCGCCTCAATTCCGAGAGGCATACTACGCGGTCTGCGTAGGGTGGGGAGCCCCGGACGAGGAGACGCGAAGAGACTTGATCGACGCTACCTGCCGGGTAGATTGTTTGAGGCCTGCAGATCTGATTTACTATTGTCGTAGGCCCGTAGAAGATAAGTACGTAGGGCTGGAGGACCTGAAATACTTGTTTTGTGCATAAATCAGCAGAAGGGATGCCAGGTTCGGACGACTACGGGGGTTAATGTGAACAGACAATTAGTGAATGAGGGTTTTACGATTACTGTCCTACTCAGAGCGCGCTTAGATGATGATCTGAAAGAGCATGAGAGCTTCCTACAAGCCAAGGAGTTCATTTGTGAATATAGGCCAAGAGTTCTTGAATGCGTGACCTTCCAAACCAAGATATCGTATGAAGTAATGGTGTGGTCAGCTGGATAACGTGCGGAATTGTTCTTTGATGAGACGGTAGCAGAAGCTAGGAGTAGGGTATGAGTCAATTTACCTTGTCATGATAGAGCGCGAGCGGCAACTATATCGATATAGGCCTCGAGCTTCGTATTCGCTCCGGTGGGACCGCAGAGGGTCTGGCTCCTGGAGGAATGTGAGTGAGAGGAATCCCCGAGTAGCTACTCGAGGAGGTCAGACGAGCCGCCTCTCCTCTCTGCGACGACTTCCGTATGCTCGAGTTGTCTCGAGACAGTTAGCATGTGACAACGAGACTCTACAAATTCTTTTGAGGGTGAGCGTCAAGAAGGATTTATCGGACAGTGAGTTTAAGGAGCTTGCTGAGGACGTCATACAGGAGCAGAGATTAGGAGCAGTGAAGGAGTTGACAATACAAAGTTGGGTGGTATATGAAGTGATCATTTGTGTTAAATGGAAAGTGCGCTTGGAGATAGTTCGAGACGAGACGCCCACAGAAGCTCAGAGTAATATGCAAGGGAGATGGATAGCAGACAATGGATGATCTAGAAGAGAGGAAAAAGAGAGTCGACGAGCGAGTTATAAAATTAGTGGTAAAACGGGTTAAGGAACTCGGTACCAAGATCCAAGATTGTGCACCGAGCAAGAATGAGAGTGAGTTGCGAAGAATAAAAGCAGCAACAAGAGCATTAGAGAGGCTTCTTAGAGAGGATAGGGAATTCTTCGTAAGATGGCGCCTTGACTTTCTGGAGAGTGGAAATGAGAGAGTTTGCAGCAGAGAGGAGCAAAAAGACTCGCTTGAGTCGACAGGAAGGACAGGTGGGTTGTCGGAGGCTGCAATGTCGAAAGAAAAGGTGAAGGGAGAAGGAACGTCAGAACAATGATAGAAGGCGATGAGCTTTGAAAAATATAGTATGCGCATAGTAGGAAGGGCAAACGGGTCCATCGCCTGTGTGGTGATACAATTGCTCCACGACGAGTTCGGGGACAGCCTGGACAGGAACTGGCGGGACGAGGAGGAAGAAGAAGAAGACGGCGAGGAGGAGGATGACGACGAAGAAGGAGAGGGCGAGGAGGAGGACGACGACGAAGAAGGAGAGGGCGAGGAGGAGGACGACGACGAGGAGGAGGACGAAGAAAATGTGGACGAGAAGGAGGCCACGGCGATGGAGGAGGAGGAGGGAGATGACTTAGAGGAGGAAGAAGAAGAAGAGGAGGAGGAGGAGGAGGAGGAGGASKGAGAAGGGGATGAGGAAGAAGKGGAGGAGGAAGAAGAGGAGGAAGGTCCGACGATGGAGGGCGGAGGAGGAGGAGGKGGGGGGGGGGAGGTGGAGGAGGAGGAGCCCACGGCGACGCAGAAGAGGATCCTATGGCGATGACGAAGGAGTAGGAGGAGGAGGAGGTCCCGGCGATGGAGGAAGAAGAGGAAACAAAGGAGCAGGAGGAGGAGGTGGAGGAAGAACAAGAAGAGGGCGAGGAGGAGGAGGATGACGACGAAGAAGAAGAGGGCGAGGAGGAGGAGGACGAGGAGGAGGAGGACGAAGAAGAGGTGGAGGAGGATGCCACGACGATGGAGGAGGAGGAGGGAGAGAACTTAGAAGAGGAAGATGGAGAAGAGGAGGAGGAGGAAGAGGCGGAGGAGGACTGGGAAGGGGATGACGAAGAAGCGGAGGAGGAAGAAGACGAGGAGGAGGAGGAGGAGGAAGAAGAAGGTTGACGAGGAGGAGGTGGAAGAGGTGGAGCATGAGGCCACGGCGATGGAGGTGGAGGAGGAAGGGTACTTAGAGGAGGAAGAAGAACAAGTAGACGAGGAGGACGAGGAGGAGGAGGAGGACGAGTAGGAGGACGAGGAGTGGAAAGAGTATGAGAAAGAAGAGGAGGAGGAAGAAGAGGGGGACGAGGAAGAAGAGGAGGAGGGGCCGACGATGGAGGAGGAGGAGGAGGTGGAGGAGGCGGAGGCCACGACGACGGAGGAGGAGGAAGAGGAAGTGGAGGAGGTCACGTCCTCCATCGCTACGGCCTACTCCACATCAGGCTCCTCCGACTTTTTTTTTTTTTTTTTCCTGAGGCGATCAAACAATCAATCAATCAATCAATCAAACAAACAATCAATCAGTCAATCACTCATTCAATTCATCGATCGATAAGTCAATCAATCAATCTATCAATCAATCAATCAATCAATCAATCAATCGATCAATCAGTCAATCAATCAATCAAGTGATGGAGCCGTGTTATGATTTCCTCAGGGACATGGACCGCGATGGGTCATCGCCGCCAGGTTTGTGGAATCTGCAGTCAATCCTCCGGAGGAAGATTGACGCTCTGCAGCTGGACAATCACGAGAGGGCGGTTGTCATGGAGATTGTGGCAAATAGGTGCGCGATGATGCGTCAGCCTGCCCATGTTGTGGCTTATTTGTTGGATCCTCGTCGGCGCGATGTGTCGTTGTTAAGGAATCGATCGACCCTTGTTGTGCAGAGCGCGCTTGACCACTTCACTCGCACTATGGGCAGGGACTGGGGGGCGGAGGAGATACACAAACTCTGGGAGGCTTTATGGACTTTCTATTCCGACGATCCACGGTACTGGTCAGACCATGGACCTCACTGGTGGGACCAGTACGTCACTCGGGATGAAGCAACGAAGACCATTCACCCGGCGTTGTGGTGGGAGCTTCATGCCAGCCGTTACTCAAAGTTGCAAGCCATCGCGAAGAAGGTACTTGACATGTGGTCGACAGCAACTCCTTGCGAGCGCAACTGGGCGACTCACGATTTCATACACACGAAGAGGCGCAACAACCGCTCTGCTAAGAGTGTTGATAAACTCATGTTCATACATTGGAACATGCAGGCTTCTCAGTGCCAGCAGGCGGCCGGAGAGTCGTTATATCGACGTGTGGCCGGATATGGTAGAGCACCCCCCTGAGGAGATCGACGACACAGATGTCATCCCCGCAGATGTGGTTGAGGATGACAGGGAGCTCATGGATCAGGTTAACCGTCGCAAGGACGGTCGTAACCGGATCACGTCTGTATCGACAGATGATCGTGTGGCAGATGCAATGTCCCCATGGCAGGATGCGGTGTGGATGCACCGCGAGATGATGGACCAGCCGCAGGAGGATCAGGGCAGAGGAAAGGCGGTTGCAGAAGACCAGCACGATATTTTCGATGATTGGGTGACATTGGACCCTCACACGGACCTCGACTCGTACGTCGATGGCAGTTTACAAGCGGTGAGGACCCTCCGGAGCCATGTGGGAGACCACGTCGATGTCGAGGGTCTATTGGCGACAGACGATGCAGAGGGGGCAGAGGAGGACATTGAGCACCACCACGACGACATTCTTGCCTCAACGTCACAACCACGGGTGGTGGAGATAGGGTCACCGGGCGCCACAACATCACAACGCGTCAATCATCCATCGTCCTCCCGTTTTGCACGGCCGACCAGCGTCGATTCCTGAGGTCTGGAGGCGCATGCTTCTGCCGCGTCAGGTTCCCCTGCTTTCACTATCGACGTGCGTAGGACGGGCGGGTATTCACAGGGTACAGTACACCGTGCTGCGGTGCACAGGGCAGAGTAGAGACGCAATGATAGCATGGATGAGAGGGCAGATCAGCCTGTGGAGCACAGGGTACAACACAGGGAGGGGGTGCAACAGGTGGTAGAGCAGCTCGCAGAGCGCCCGGGGGTCAGACAGAGTGTCGCGCATACGGTGGATCAGAGGGCGGACATGGTTGCAGAGGAATCGATGAAGCAGAGGGTTGAGCAGAGGGTGGGTGACAGCACAGACCGTAGCTTGTACGAGAATGCACACCCGAGGGACAAGGACGGCGTTCGACCAACGGTGGTGCAGACTGTAGAGCAGCAGGTGGGGGAAGGTTTGGCCGCAACAGTGGAACAGAGGGCGGACCAAAGGGTACATCCATGTGTTCCCCTTGCTGCAGATCATAGGGTGGAGCAGAGGGTGTAGCAGAGGGTGGAGCAGAGGGTGGAAGTCAGGGTGGATGTGAGTGTGGAGCAGCAAGTGGATTAGGGGCGATCAGGCATTGTACGCGAGAGAGTGAGTGAGAGGATTGACGAGAGTGTCGTTCGAGATGACGGCGTTGTGGTAGCGGAGGACAGGATGGAGGGCAGCATGGAGGATAGGATGGAGGAGATGGGTAGTGATCTCCCGCAGGAGAGCCGTGATCGAGACATGACACTAGCTAAGGGTTTCATTCTATGGGATTCCGCCACTGCCCCCACGTTGTCGGCGCGAACCCTTACAAGGGTATCCGCCCTGGTTTTTGTGAGTGACAGAAAATAGGTTTGGTTTGAAATTTGAGTACACTACACGAGCTGCAGTTGTGTTTTGTCCACGCTGACTGAATGGTTGACTAGAAGCAAAGTGTATGTGGGTGCGCAATTTTGAGGCGCACGTGATGATTCTTATTTTGATGTTATAGGGTCGGCGTCCCGCCGGAGGTACAAGGATCGAGGGCGGCGACCGGCGACAACGGAGCATTGGAGCGGTTGAAGATGTCGAGGGGTTGAGGGTCTAGCGGGGCTATCCCGCTTGGTTTTGTTGTCGGCCCATTCATGGGCCCAGGGCGGGACTGAGAGCGGCGCCGACGGTTTCCCTTCCCCAAAAGCACCGGTTTCCAATGTCCGCATTTTTATTTTTATCGTTATTTTTATTTTTCTTTAGTTATTTTTAGTTGTCAGTCCCGAATCTGGGGTGCGGCGACAGCGCTGGTACCGGAGTTGTGTGCGGGGACCAGCGGGCGTGGTTTCCCATGAGCTACTGAAACCGCGGGCTGAGGAGTTCAACATACATGCGAGCTCGTTGGGTTAGCCCACGAGGCGGAAGAAACGTGAGTGGTGGGAACTTTTTGGAGGTGCGTCTTTCGCCAAACTCGATCTGTTGTGGAAACTGAAGCAGGCATGCTGATGAGCCGGTGTCGTGGGTTTGGAACCAACTTCGAGACCCGCTGGCTAGCACAGTTAATACAGCCCCCAACGGTTGAAACCCGGACCTGAGTTCGAGCTCCACTACAGTTAGTCAAACAAGTTCAAGTGAAAGCTTTACGACGCAAGTGAAAATACTGCTACCGGTTCCTTTTTTTTTTTTTTTTTTTTTTTTTTTTTTTTTTT